CAAGTCCAGCTTAGCAAATGAATTGGGTATATATTACTATGATATTTGTGATCACACTTATGACAAGTTTGCCACAATTTTAAGAGAGTTTGACATCGTGGTGCATCTATCAATTCAACATTGGCGGACCTACTGAAGGCCAATTGTGGACATCTGCCCACATCTTATTGAATTTGTTAAGCTTTGGATGCTACATTTATACATCAAACTAGGTTCAGAGTACTACTTATTAACAACTTCAGCCATCACAAAGTTCCACTTAACCCACTAAATAACAATAATTATTAGTTTATGCAATTAAATCACAACCACGCTTCTACTAAACAAACTATTGAGTATGTGACAGTCGATATTAACTCGTTTTATTCTCTACATTAGAGATGATTTTTTTTTTTTAAAGTTTAATATGTTGGTCATTTCTCTTGAGTTGTACCAAGTCCAGTTGAATTTATGTTCTGGTAATATACAACTCATCCGACCATCGTTTCTCTATGGGTAAAGTGGATACAAAGTATATATTATATATAGGCCTTGCAACTTTTGCCAATTCATGAAAGGAGTGGGTATGTGGTTAGAATTAATATATGTTGACAGATTTTCTTCTCATTGGTCATTGACTCAATGCTGAGAGAATTATCTCAAATGAAAATGGAAGTATATTAAGCTCCATTTTACTTACAAAGTTAAGGTTGAAATTAGAGCTCTATGTATGCAAAACATTACACTGATTCGAGGATTTCCTTTACTGTAATTCCATCTTTCAAAGTTTTAAAGTAAACATTGTAGTCCTTCTCTGAGGGTGGATTTTGAGGGTCCACTGTAAATGGCTCACTAAATGGCACAACACTTTTAACCTGCAAATGAGTTTATAAGCATATCAGAATCTGCAAAAGCTTTTAACTTCCAAAAATAGCAAATTACAGCCACAGCATACAGCACACAATTAAGGGACATAAGTCGGGTTGTGACCTCAAATGTCTTGCCAGATGCATAGGGGCTTTCCAACGCAGCAAAACAAATCAGAGCAACCTCTTCTCTTGACATCTTTCCCTGCATATATATATAAATACTATAAATTGTAACATTCAGATATTATTACTATTATAAGGGAAAGAAAGAGCAATACATGTCATCACATGCTTCAGATTTATTGAAGAAGTTCAAAATGCACCTATGCAAACCCTCTCCTACACCTTCGCTTTCCTCTCAACGGCTCTCTGCCCATGATGGTGATTCTCTTTTAGATCCTGAAATCTATCGTAGCATGGTTGGAGGACTTCAATATCTCACTTTATCTCGCCTAGACATTGCATATGCCATCAACCAAGTCTGTCAATACATGCACAATCCCAAGACCACTCATCTACAAGCCGTCAAACGCATTTATCGTTACATAAAGGGGACTATTGAACATGGCCTTATTTATCGCTCTTTCCCTGATTACACCTTACGCGCTTTCTCTGATGCATATTGGGCTGGCTCTCTTGACGATCGTCATTCAACTAGTGGGGCCTGCATGTTTCTTGGTCCCAATATTCTCACTTGGACCGCCAAAAAGCAATCCACTGTCTCTAGGTCCAGCTCAGAAGCTGAGTATAGAGCCGTTGCTACAACAGTTGCTAAACTTCAGTGGTTTCGTTATCTTTTCCGTGAACTTGGGGTTCCGCTTCACACTCCACCATGCGTCTTTGTCAACAATATTTCCGCCCTTCACATGGCTGCAAATCCTGTCTTACGCACGCGTTCTATTGAAATTGATTATCATTTTGTTAGTGAATTACTAGCACATGGAGCTCTTCGCACAAGTTATGTCTCTTCCCAACATCAATTAGCCGATATTTTTACCAAAAGTCTCTCCAGAGAACGGTTCTCCTTTCTTTCTGGCAAGCTCAATCTCCACTTGGTTCTATTTCGCTTGAGCCGGGGGTGAAGAGAACGACAATCAAGCCAAGAATCCCACTATCTCAAGTCAACCTCCCATCACAACGTGATTGGTACAATTTATGTACAAATCCCAGTAGTCATGTATTTTCCTCTTTGTTATAGTTGACCACCGCTAGCATCTTGTATATATGGCGTATCTCAACATAATCAAAGTATCAAGTGATTCAACCCAAACTTCTCTCTTGTCTATTTTTCTACACTCTTGATAATACTATAAATCATAACATTCAGATACTATTACTATCATAAGGGAAAGAAAGAGCAATACATGTCATCACAAGCATACAACAAAGAGAATAGTTATCTTCTATTTGATTATATACCGTTATATTGTCTCATTGGTTAAAAATGAGATCTGCTCCGGCACGCTCCTCAGTTAATGCACAAGGCCTCACAATTGTATATGGTATTCCACTGATCCCGTATTAAATCCTCCCCCTGCTCAAATCCTATCCAGAAAAAGAAAAAGAACATAAAAGACCTAAGAAGTGGTATTTTGATACACTGATTATACATAAAAATATCTAACAGCTTGCACTGAATTAGTATGAAACCTTCAACTTGAATGTCAGGATAAAATCCAATTCCTTGTTTAAGCGAACAGCAGGAGGTTGTTTACTTAGATCAAGTCCAGGCCTGTCAGATTGGGTAACTCCTGCTTAACCTACGTGTACGAACCTACACGGAACACAAGCAAAGAGATTCTTTAAAGACTAAAACAAAAAGTGCACCCAGCAGATCAATTATGTTTAGTCATAAGAAGATAATCCAACAAAATGAAAAGAATGTGAAACCTGGGAGTAATAGGCTCTTTTAGATATGCTCCTATGCTTGATAATGGGAGCTTAAATTCCCCTTCCACAAAAGTAGGATTCAGTTTCCCATGAAATTCAAACTTGCTAAACATGAGCTGCCATAATTTTGAATCCCATCAATAAACATAGAAGAAAATGAAGTGAAAGAATAGACTAAAAGAAAGTAGCTGCAGAAATGTGCATGCAATGACACAATATTGCTGGGGTCAAAAGGTGGTGCATCTGATACAGTTCTTGCTCGAAATATCGGCTTCAAAGAAGAATCGCTAGGCAGTAGGCTTAAAGAACAAGAGAAAAGAACCAGACCCAGCCTGGCACCTAGATCTGCCTAGCACCGCCTAGACCTGCCTACCGCCGCCCAGACCCGCCTACCGCCACCTTGACCCACCTAGCGCCGCCTAGACCAGCCTAGAGCTGCCTAGAGCTGCCTAGACCCACCTAGCGCCTCCCAGACACTCCTAGCGCCGCCCAGACACGCCTGTACAACTGAATTGAAAAAAAAATTCAAACCTCTATACATAATCAGGAGATTTGGACCTCATCGTGATCAAGGCTATAACCTTTTGAAAGTGAGAACCTATCATCTCAGGTGAAACATTTTAAGACATGTAGATTTGTCCTACAGAACTTTATAATCTTGGTCGCTTATCTATGTTCCTATAGAAGCCTCTGCTTTTCATATGCTACAAGTATATACACCTGCAGTAAGAGAGAGAGAGAGAGAGAGAGAGAGAGAGAGAGAGAGAGAGAGAATTAATATATGTTGACATATTTTCTGAGAGAGAGAGAATTAATATATGTTGACATATTTTCTTCTCATTTCTTGCCGCCCCTTCTAACAACTTTAAACCCTTACTGCGCAGCAGCAGCCCCCGCCCACGCAAAACCCATCGCATCACCATCCCTCCTCCCTCCCCTCTCACACTTTGCATAAAACTCCTCTCTCTCTCGTATGTGCAGCCATGTGTTTCCTACGTGTGTGTGGTGAGAGTGCAATTTTGTGATTTGCCATATTCGTGGACTCATGTGGCCTTTTATAATTTTGAAGGAGTTTGACATTTCATTAATAACAAATAGTATAGCCGCTTGTCTATACCCTCCTCGTGCATTTTTAGAATGGTGTAGCCGCGCGGCGATACTTGGGTATTTAAAGAAAGCAAGTATAGCCGAGCGGCTATAACCTTTTATAAAGGTCAAAAAGACACGCCTAATACCTAAGAGCCCACGTGTGATTTTCCCGTTCTGTATTTTACTAACTAAAAGAATGTGAGAGGCTAAGATCATTTCTTGTTGTAACAAAAATGCAAGATGGTGATTTTGCAAACTCTTTGCCAACTAGAACAACAATTTCAAACAAAGATTTATGGGTATAGTAGCAAGCAAGGTGGTAGTATTCTTCATGTAAAGTGTTGTTTGAAATGTGAAGCAATTACAGTATGATATGTGAATTTTGTGTGTATAATTGAAAATTTTGTAAAAACCAAGTGTATTAAACATGAAAAATACGTACGTACATATACAATACGAGTATTAAACGTGAAAATGGTAAATTCTTTATACGGGTAATAGCTCTGGAATAGCAAAAACTCAAAAGGGCACAGTAGAGACTATTTTTTATAATAAAAAACTGAAGTATGGCGGGGAACCAATCCTGAGGCTAGAGATTTTCCTGTTGACATGGGTTTTGCTAACTTGTATATCATGAAAACTAGTAACTCACAGAAGATTGCAACAACAAAAATGTGATTTTGTCTCAATAACTAAGCATCTTTATCAAATGATTTGGCAGGTTGAAAATCAAGAACCCACTCTGGAATTCTGGAAGAGATCGCTAAACCCTTTAACATGGATAGAAATATTGCGTCAAGTACTGGTTGCCGCTGGTTTTGGTTCAAAGCAAGGTGCAATGCGAAGGGATGCCCTTAGCAAGGTCTTCGAATATAACTCCCATAGTTGCAATTGATTTTTCTAAGCTCCATTTCCTCTCTAGTAAATGTATTTAATTATCAACACATCTGTATTCTGCAAGTTAAGTGCTATAGATGCCAAATAATGTGTTCATCACCCAAAACCTTGCCACTGCCTGCCACCATTGAACATGGAGAGTGACGCTGAGCTAGAAGGATACATTGCTATAGCCTATATGACAAGATTATATAAACATCTCATATGATCAATGGTCTAGATTGACAGTCCGAACATATATTATGTTCAAGAAAACTTGTAAGAGAATCAAGAACATGAAAAAGATCATGATATTTTTATGAATACTTTTACATACATGTCATGGTACCCTCAGCCCCTATATATCTGGGGACACATCGCACTGCCGGCGGACTTTTATTGACATGTAACCTGCTGTGTCACTTTGTAAATCGATCAAAGACAGTGCAGATTGAAGTTGTAGAAGGGGCTTATTGTGTGAAATGTTAAGACACTCAATATACAGTCAAAGAAAAGGAAGGAAAGCCATTCTTTCGTCAAAATGCAAGTCTACAGGACTGTCTTATTGCAACAATCAAGCAGAAGGAAACCTATTTGGTTACCAGAAGGATCAAGCATCAGATTCACACCATTCTTGTAAGGTTGGTGTTGCAACTCCAATGTTCTTCATGTCCAATATATTGGCTGGTTCAGAGAATTTGGGTGAGTTAGTCATGGCTATCATTCGACAATCCATCTTCAAATTTAATCAGAATGTAAAAAACACTATAACGGACTAAACAGGTTGCATATATGATACATCCTTTAAGGGTAATATTCTCTTGTGAAAAGGTCTCACATGTATAACCCATCTGATCAATAGATCACATTGACAGTATGAAAGTCACAGAACAGCATAATGTGTAAAAAGAGAACACTTCGCTGTGCTTAAAAGAAGGATCATTGAAGATATTGCTTGGCACACCAAAATTTGGACGATGGTAGACATGGGTCACATGCACTAGCATTTAAGAAAAGAAGTATAAATGGCATATTCCAGTGATGATATCCCCATTAGGCATCCCCACAGAGTTAGATTTCTTCATGCAAAAGTGATTATGGTAGAAAATTTCAAATCATATCAATTGAATCATACATACAGCTAATTCAAAAGCTTTTCCTTGCCTTCAGTAAGGAATAAGAAAGGATAGCAGAGAAATTTACTAGCCAATATCCTAATTTCAACATGCACGCCGACAAATCATCCCAAAGACAATCATAGTTACAAGATCTCCTTGGTTTGTGTTTGTAGAGTTTCCTTTACATTACGCATTAGCTATTTGGATACTTAAAGGTATCAATTCTGACCATCAAAAGAAAAATCCTACTCTTAAACTGTCCCCACCACCTTATCTCTTCTAACTCTAAGTTTCATTTTTCTTCCAACTTTGTTTCCACCAGGAAAGGGTGAAGGCTTGTAGTTTTCAATGTGAATTCCATAGTCACACTACTAGTCTATATCTAATGGTACGTGAGAATATAATTTTGGGTTCAATGTTGACACAGGAGGAGGTATTTGAGTTAAAAAGGGCATACCATGGTATTCGAAGTTTCCTACTTTTTCCTTCTATTAACATATCCTGAATTCTATTAAACTGAAAAATAGGTGTCAAAAAGGATTATTTCAGCATTTGCATGCATAATGATGAAATAACAAGAGATAAAATCTATCTACCTAATCTCAAACAAATTAATACCGTACAAGTGATCAATACTCCGAATCAGCCCATACTAAGAATCAAGTTCAATTGTATCAAGGATATGAGTCACTTATTCACATCCTCAATTTCCAATCCGTGACAAAAATTTATCAACAGGATCCAGATCAACCTCAACTTCATATAACATTAATCAAACAACCTGAAGACAATCACCATTCCTAACCATCCTTAATAACTGAATTTTGTAGTGAAAATCCTGTCATTGGAATTTTTTCTGTATATGCTATGATTAGATGGTTACCGAGGCATAAGTTTCTGGGGAAAATGGAACAGAACAACGAATACAGTCTAACATTAGCATCACAAAAACAGAAAGCACATACCAGCGTGTACTTCAGGTGTAGCAGCAGCTGTGGCATCAAGAACAACTGTAACAGATTTGTAATCCAAAGCTACACCATCAAACACAGTCTGCCTAATGCAGTTTGGAGTCTGAACACCTAAAAATACCAACACCAACAAATTACAACCTTACACAAAATACTAAAAACACCATTCTACAAAACAAACAATAGGGTCTTTCATAATTGAATATCTCACTTACCAGTGACAACCAAACTGTCAATTCCAGCACCCTTAAGAAATGAATCAAGATGTGTACCAAAGAATGCACTAAACCGGGTCTTGACCAACTTATAATCCCCTTCTTGAATCACAAGCCCATCAACAAGTTCAGCACCAAACTGACCCTTAACGGTTGGACCAACTTTCCCAGCAGGATATAAGTGCCGGCGGAAAAGCTCAACATCTCTTCCTAGTGGGTCATGTTCACGCACAACCTACCATATTTGTCAAAATGAACCATTACAAATCTAACTTGACTGTAAAATTGAGTGAATATTATATCTTCCCACATTAAAAATAAAATCAAAATACACTCTTTTTCTCAATTGCACGTTAAAGTTTATCTTAGTGGCAGTAAAATTGGAAGAAGAAAAGTTGGTACTTGGTATTAAAATCCTGGGTCGTGTGTTTTTCATTGTTCTAGTTAGCAGCAAGTGGAAAGTTCAACTAAAAACGAACAAGGAATAGGAAAGGCAGTTGGGTACCCAAACTACGAGCAAGCCACGCTGCCTAGCGATTTGAACGGCCTTGATTACATTTGGGACTATGGCTTTGCCTCCATTGACAAGCATAGGACCATCCACATCTACGAAATCATGCTGCAAAACACAACCGCTTCAAAACCCAATTCATTTTATTTTGACAGAAATCAGAGCTTGGGGAGAGAGAAAGACCTGCATGTCAATTACAAGCAGAGCTGTGTGCTTCCATTTGTCTGCCATGTTTCAGAGACTCGGTTGGAGAAAGGTGGTTGACAACTCTGGTAACTGCTGCCCGTTAAAGATATAACTGTGGCCCAGCTTGGATGAAGGTCAAGGGAAAAGGCCCTTGTATACAATTTGGGCTAAGACTTAACTAAACCCAAACCCTCAAAGGTAAGGATTTCATTTCGCCGATGGTGAATGCAAATTCTCTCACAGCTAGACCCTTTCATTTTCTTTTCCCACTCTCCTTTTTATCTCCTCCTCAAATTGTATTGTATGCATTCAAGTTTATAACAGTTTATTTTTGCTTTGATATGTACGGCTCGTAAATCTTGTGACTACGAGACAGCTCTAGTAGACCTCCGCTTAGAGCACTTCCACCTATTTGCTATGGCAAAAGGCAAAGGTAGGCAAGGGCAATACTGTTTTTGTGAACAGTGACTGCTTTAGCAATTTTTTTGATTCATTTCCACCTATTGGCATGACAACCCAAGGGCAATTATTATTCACATGAGATATGATGAGGGGAATTTGTATGGAGTTTTGGTGTGGGAAGTGAAGAATATGGCTAGGTTTTATAGAAAAAAAAATTCTGAATTTTTTTTATTTTATTCTTCTTTTTTATTATTATTTTTGTATTTAAATTAATTGCTGACGTCATAATGACGTCAGCGTGAGATCAGCTTGCCTAGGCAAGTCTTGCCTTTGGGCTTGCTCAGGCTAGTGGAGCCCAGCGCTTGCTCTAACAAGCCTTGGCCATTGGAAACGGGATTGGGGGCCTAGGGAGCCTCTTTCCCGGGCTAGCCCCCAGGAATTTTATCTTTGTGATTCTATTTTAAAATATTGTTGTCACGCCCATGTCCAAAAAAATAAGTAAATAATTGTTGTAAGCTATTACTTGTTAGTTTGTTTTTTTCAATAGACTATTCCTTGTTAGTTGGTTGAAATATTGTTGTCAAATGGACCAACATATTACTATGAATCGGTTGGATGCAGCTCAAGCTATTGAGTTTGATTTTGTTTTAACTCCTGCAAGCTATCCCAAAATAAACAAAGTAAATTAAGTTAAAGCTCTTTAGACACAAATTATTTATTCAAATTTGAAACATGAAAATGAGCAATTTACAGAAGTGACATTTTTAGAGAATATGGTGTTCTTTCATGTTTGATCCATTCTTAAGGCAAAATAAAACTATACGTAGGTGTTCATATACTTACACTAGATGTTTCTGAAGTGGTGATGAGAAGGTTGAAAGCTTGGAGATTCGAATTTGTGCTTCACTAGTGCACAAATGGAAGTTGTTGAGGGAGGTGCCTTTAGCTAAACTTTTCTCTCAATCGAACTTTGTTTACGTATGATTTCTTTCCTTGGGTTGTAGTTTGTCTTGAGATGAACACTAGTTGCCCTTTTATAGGCTAAGAAGTAGTTGGAAATGAACTTGAGTTGCTCCCGAAGTTGCTTGGTTACTATGTATGGTTAACAGCCAAGTGGGGTGTTTAAAGCTTTGCAATTGAGTGTTTGGCATATTTTGAATGCTCCAGATATAACTCTGGTAGGCTTACCTCATGATTTAAAATCTGATGATCTTTTTTTTTTTTTTTTTTTAAAAAAAATTTTAACTTTATTTTCATTTTCTTTCTTTAGAAACACACATACGGGCATTTTGGTAATTTCACACACAAATTCAAATATTTCAAAATACATGAACTAAATTATAAACAAATCATCACATGAATGAGAAACATGTTTTTAGAACATTTAGAGGCTTATAGATATTTTATATGTGCAGATAAACACGAAATACATATAAGGGCATTTTAGTACTTTCGCCTAACAACTCCCGGAAACAATACATATAAGAAATTAATAAAAATATATATTCCCAAACAGATGAGCAATAGGTTTTATGAACATTTAGAGCATAAAAATATTATTTTCCAGAATAGTGAAAAAATAACTCATATAGGGGTATTTTGGTCATTTTTACTTAAAATTGCAAAACAATCAAATATATAGAAATGACTTTCTATTTTCAACAAAATACATGAAAAACATATTATATGAACATACATAGCACATAAATCTGATGAACTTCTTTGCAACCTTCGAATGAGCAATACCTGGTTTAGATTGGTATATTCCCAATACATTAATAGAAAAGACTAAATTTGAGCGTGTGCATACATAATGCTTCCCACAACTAAAGCATATGGCTTGTCCTTCATTTCTTCTCTCTTAATGTCATTCTTTGGGCAATCACTTTTTCTCAACTTATATCCCATTATATAAGAATCCAGAATCTTTCATCTCAAAATTCATAGACATAAATTCCTTGCTTTCATGTAAGAGACTTTCATCACTGCTAGCAAGTAGAATGTCATCTATAAAAAGGACAAGGAAGATAAACCTACTCCACTGTTTTTCAAGCATATGCACTCTTCCAATATGTTCTCAATGAAACCATATGATGTAACTATCTTATCAAACTTCAAATACCATTGCTTTGAGGCTTGTTTCAAACCATAGATTGTTTTCTTTAGTTTGCACACTAACTGCTCATTGCTTTCTTCTATAAATCCCTCAGGTTGTTGCATGAAGATCTTTTCACTCAATTCTCCCTTAAAAAAGTTATTTTTACATCCATTTGATATAAAAACATATCAAAGTGTGCTATAAGTGCCATAATGATTCTAAAGGCATTTTTGGTTGAAACTAGTGAGAAAGTTTCATTGTAATCGATTCCTTCTTTTTGGTTAAAAACCTTAGTCACTAGCCTAGCTTTATACCTCTCAATAGCCCCTCGAATCACTTTTGGTCATAAGCACCCACTTACATCCTATAGGCTTCATTCCTTGTTGCAATTCAACTAACTCCCACACTTCATTGGTTTTCATAGACTCTAGCTTACTCTACATACCCTCAAGTCATTTCTCAAAGTGTTCACTAGACATGGCTTGCTTGTAACTCATTTGATCCTTAAACTCAAAACCTTCAAAATATGCCTCATTTAAGGAAACAAAATATGTTAGTGTATTAGGTCTTCTACTTTCTCTTGAGGATCTTCTAACTTCTTCTGGTTGTGGTTGTCGCTCTATAGGCATCTCAACCTCATTTGGTTCTTCATGAATATCTCTAATCTTTTGGTTTTGAGTTCAAGGCTCAACCGGACTCAGTTTGTGACAAGGTTTGAATCAATAGATAAGTTACAACAGGATTGTTTGTATTGAGAGGTTCTATTCCTATTTATCCTCTTCTTCAAAACCAAATTTTATATTTGTTCCTTCACTATCCTCATCATGCTATAGGAACTTGGCCTTCCCTGTCTCAACAATTCTATTGATGTGGTTAGGGCAATAGAAACAAAAACTGTTTGATCTCTCTGCATACCCTATGAACCTGCAACTTACAGTTTTTGGATCTAATTTTCCCGACTTTGGATTGTAATACCTTGGCTTCAGATTTACAACCCTAGACATGCAAATGGTTTAAGCTAGGTTTCCTCATATTCGATAGCTCAAAGGGAGTCTTAGGAACTGACTTACTTGATACCTGTTTAGGATGTAATTAGTTGTGTTTTAATTGCATCTCCCCATAGAAACCTTGGAAGATCAATGTTGTAAATCATGCTTCTCACCATATCTTTCAAAGTTTTATTCATTTTCCCATATACTCTATTCTCTTGAGGGGTTCCAGAGTTTGTGTATTGTGAAACTATTCCATAGTCGTGAAGATATAGTGCCAATGGTGATGGGTTTCTGCCTTGCTCATCATATTTTTCATAATATTCTCCTCCCTTATCAAATCTTAGAACTTTAATCTTTAACTGAAGTTGGTTTTCTACTTCCGTTTTAAAGACTTTTAAAACCTCAAATGCAATAGATGTGGTTGGAATTAGATATAGATAATAGAATCTTAAGAAATCATTAATTAAGGTGATGAAGTACATGTCCTTCCAGAGTTTCATTTGGAAAAGGGGCCTCAAATGTCAGTGTGAATTCTCTAGCTAGAAGTTGTTGACTACGTGTGGATCCTAGCATTCTTGAGTTAGTCATTTTGCCCTTATTGCACTCAATGCATTAACTAAAGTCTGAAAAATCCAAAGAAGGAATAATTCCTCCTGGATTAGCCGTTGCATTCTTGCTTTAGACACATGGCCTAGTCTTTTGTGCCATAATGGCTGATTTTTCATTGTTTTTTTTTTTGGGGAGAAATTCTAGGATTGCATTCATAATTCTGCCAAAAAAACCATTAGTCACAAGGGGCCAAAACAAACTAGCCACAAAGGGCAATTACAATAACGGAGCAGTCTAACATCAAAATTAAGACAATTTGGTGCGCCTCCACTAACGATCACGCAGGATCGAATAAACTCTGGCATAGGCATCCCAACTAAGATTGCAAACTCAGAATAATCAAAAATATATAAAGCTTAAAAAAATCAAGCCATAACAATACAAATAAAACTCTCACAGAGGAGAGATAAAAAGCTCTCACAAAGGAGAGGTGAAAGGCTCTCACAAAAGGAGAGGTGAAAACTACACAGAGAACCCAAAGTCTCTGTGACTTATTCCGAACATAAAGAAACCGCAAAAAGGATGGTGGTGGAGATCCGACGTTGAAACGCAGATGGAGATCCGATGTCGAAACTCAAGTGGAGATCCGACGCTGAGACGCAGTCGCCTATGATGGTTGGAGGAAAATGATAACAAAGTGAAGAGTGGAAAGGAAAGGAAGAACAATGGCTTCCTCCCCCCTCAAAGTGAAAACGGCTCTAGGAGAGTTTTTTGGGAGAGAAGGGGCTAGGGTTTCATTGTCTAGTTATCGTTTTTTCCCTATATTTTCAATGGTGAAGGTAACATAACATTATTACTTGCACAATTCAAACAAAACAACCCATCAATCAAAGAGCCATTGCCCAGTGAACTTTTACTGAAAATCAAATAAAATCCTACCTTAGAAAAAACAAAACTGAAATGTTCCCCAGTTAATCTAGAAACTGAATTCAAATTCCTTCGCATAGAAAACTAAAGAAAAGCCTGAAACTAGTTGAAGCCTAATTGATCCTAATGCATGAACTGGAACTTTCTTGCCATTCCCTATGAAGACATGGTCTTGGTCTGTACTTGGTTTCCTTTGGCTTACGATATCCTACAAGGAATTAGCAATGTGAATTGGTGATCCAGTGTCAATCCACTAGGAATTAGAAGGGACAATGACAAAACTAGAGTCAAAGAAAACTAGGACAAAATTAGACTTACCTTTAGTT